GTTGGTAGAGTATTTTGCTTAGTTTCCCCTAAAGAAGAAGAAAGAAGAGGGTGGTAGAAATGAAGCTTTCCCTGTCTTCAGTTATTTTTCTGAAAAACTCCCTCCCATTAAATTCCAGTTTAATGAATCGGAACAGAAAACTGAATAAACTGAAGAAACCTGGGGAAAATATTAAGGACCTCTGATGGCTAAATAAGATGAAATCATGTCACACTCAGCAGCTGAACCAAGGTCAGGGGCTTGCTAAGAAACAGATTTCTGGCTTAGCTTGTTGCATTAAAAAAGCACCAAAAAAAAAAAAAAGCTAGGACAGATCTCTGAGCAGAGATGAAATGAGATGAGGGTGTTTTTTCTCCCCTTGTCTCTGAAACTCACTTGTAATCAACTGCATTGCAGGTCTGTAGTTGAGTAATGCAAACTTTCAGCTGTTATTTTGGATTTTGATTTTTAGGACCTGTCAGTGTATTCGTGTTTACCCTCAGAAAGCTATGCTGCTTCATCCTGTTGTCAGAGAAAATGTGTTGCAGTTAACGTGGTCCAGCCAGCAATTTAGCTACTCATTACTTGCCTTCTCCACACTTTTTACTGTGGAATATCAAATCAGTTGCAAGACTGCCCAGCAAAATATCCAAGAACAAATGGTTTTCTACTTTGTGTGACTTTTTTTCATCCCTATTGATGTTATGTTGCAATTGGCATGTTATAGTTGCACTGAGAAATAGTATTGTAGAATGGTATCTGCCTCCCCTTTTTTTCACGGCTTTGTAATAATAAAGTAATAATAAAGTCTGGTGGCCCATTTTCATGTCTGACACTGATTGAACTGTACTTGTCTTTTTTGACAATAAAACCAGTCTTGAGAATTCAGGTTATTCTTGTAGAGTGACTGTTCCTACTTTATTTGAAGTAATAGGTTTTATTTATTGAATGATTTTTTTGTGGGACTATACGTCTGCTTGTCAAAATTCATGTTTAGTTCACTGCCAGACCCTTTAATGGTAATCCAAGATTAGTCACTGTGTTCCCAGCCTTTGGCGTTTGTTATGATCTTTTTGAGAGGAAGGAGATGGAGGAGGATTGCAGTTATCTGTAAATAATTAGGCAGGTGGGCTCTTTATGCCAGCTGTGCAAAAGAGTTCAGTGGTCTAATCAAATGCCAAGTATGAGCTAACGTGTGCAATGGTTGTTAAACCCTGTGAGGCTAAATATGAATAAGCTCGCCTTTTCCTATGGCTGTGACTAATGTGGCCATAGATTGATTCCATTTTATTCTGCATAGCTATTTTATCATTAGTTTCATTTGAAAGAGGGAGCAGTAAACCAATTTTTATGGTTACACAGTGACATTGAGTGAGTGAAACGTTTTATAAAAGACTGGAAGGTGATAAGATTGTTTAAATTTAATTTTTTGTAAGAAAACAAGGAGAATCAAAGTAGCTGCTCAGAAATTTGTTGCACTAAAAGAACATTTTATAAGTATGGTATGCTGCTGTGCTTGCTAATATGATTTTGAAAAGAAAATAGGGCTTTTATTTATCTAGTTTTGGAAATTAAGCACTTCTAGAAAAGGTACTTGACTGCTTCAGTATGATAATTTTCCACCTCATTTTCAGCAAATTTTAGAGACCTGGATTTCTTCTTCTTATTAGGACATAGGGATTCTTTTTCAGGAGCTGGAAATTTAGAGGAATTCAATATATTAATCATTGAAATCTGTGTAGATTTCAAGTCCATTTCGAACTAGATCTTCAGAATAGATCCATCTTTCTTGATAATCCTTTAGCATAGTTTCCCTTTCAGGTTGTTGCTCTCAGGTATCGATATTGTCACAGCTGTGTGCTAGCAGACTCTCACTTTTGAGTTTCAGTTGTTCGATCGTCCTGTGTGGTAATCTGTGTAGAGGTGAATGCTCGGGATCTGTTTGCACCTCTGCCACCTGGGCTGTTTTATGAGGGTGCCTCAGTTCGGAAAGGAAGCTGATATATGCTTGTGTCCCGTTTTCACATGTCCTACACCCCTACAGTGTGAACACAAAATGTATCTGCTTGGTTGTTGCATCACATTGCACATGAGAGTGAAAGACAGTATAGATGTAATGTGCTGAAAATGTGGTTCCGTGTGAGGTGCGTTATATGAAGAATATATGTGGTGGCCTAGGGATGTATGAGGGATCCTCAAAGAAAGCGAGGTCTCCGCGAGACGTATGACAAGGAAGAGTGCTGGAGAGATGGTAGTGTCCACTAAGGCAGATATTACAAGTGGAATAAGTCCTCTTGGGAGAGAGTAGAGATGTACTGACTCTGGGCCCCTGCTTAAGAGTGGGTGAACTGCTGCTGCCACCTACAAAGAGGCTGCAAGTCCACATGTTTGAGATGGGATGAATGAGTAGCATTGTGCCTTCGAAAGTTGGATGAATGAGGGAAGAGGGAGAGGTCCAAGTACTGAAATGTCAGCTCAGAAATGGAGGACCATCCTAAGCAGATGTACGAGAGGAGGCTGGCACTTGGATATCTTATTCCACATGTTCGACAAGAAGCTTGCAAACAAATTGTTATTAATTTTGTGATAGTGAATTATTATGCATATAGATTCTGCTTGAACAGTGGCAAGTCTTTCAAGAAGGATGTTAACAGTTTCCTATTTTTTTGCTCAAGAAGTTGTTTAAACAACTTCTGTAATATGGTCATAATAAGACCTTGCGCATTTAATACTGAAAGGTAAGAGAATACAAGCATCTGGGCCTGCTGAAGCTGTTGCCTTGCTCTTCGCCTTCTGAATCATCTGTGAGCAACTCTTCTTTTCTTATCTTAATTTGTTAGCATGGATGCGTTCTATGCAACCTGAGTTTTATTACCCTGGGTGGTTTTAACTGTAATGACACTTTAATAAATTTCTTTTTTTCATACAATGCAGAGCTACTGTGAAGCGGCTGCTTAGAGCACCTTCAAACTCGGACAGTCTGCTCTCTTCCTACCTTGTCATCTGTTGATTTCACTCACTGATTTCCTTTTTTCTCCTATTTGTACTGTAAAGGCAATCATTATTCTTTCTTTTCCATTTAAGCCATTAAAACATGTCTCCTTTGTGCTGTCTTGTCTACTCATTTACACTAGAGAAAAGCAAATTTCCTTTCTGGATGGAACTACTGTAAATGAGCACAGGAAGCAGTTTTTAAGGATAAAAAAGGCCCTGAGTTTTCACAGGTGTCTTGAAGGTTGTTTACAGAAATAGAATAATCAAGGACTTTTGACCTGAAGAACCTTCTTCTATTGATGACGCTGCCTTTCAAGGAATACAAGCAGAGTATTTAGAGGCAAGTCATCTCAAAAATGCAATTTTGATTAGTCCTTTTATTCCCTCTGTCCCCTCCACTGCTTGCTTCAGATACTAGTTATTCATAATCTTTAAGAGTCAAAAGGCAGAAGAGAACAGTCCCTGTGGTAATTCAGCTGTGATACAGGAGAGAAAAGGGGGAAGCCTGCCTCTTGCCTACCTATTTCCTGAACCTGTTCTCTTTCCACCTGAAGGAGTGGGAAAATTAAGGGAGATTTAGCCAGACCTGGAATATCTGTCTTTGCACTTCCAAAGTATCAAGTGCCAAATTTCACAAACTTTCCTGCAAGATGAGTAATATTAGTTGCAGACACGAGTGAGGAGTTTGCTGCTGTGCTTTTGTCAAACCCACTCTGACTGGCACATCCTTCCCTTTTCAGTATATTTAAAGGGGGAATTGATTATCTGCACTGTGTGTGGGTTTTTTTGTTTTTTGTTTTGTTTTGTTTTTAGCCAAGTAAACTAGTGGTGACCCCGTTGGCTCCAGGCAGGCAGCAGAAGTCTGAAACACTATCTCCCTCTCTTTCCCCATCATAAATGAGAGGTCAGCGGGCAACGTGAAGCAGCCTGAGTCTGATCTGCAGCGCTTTTTGCTACAGACTGAGCTGTGAGAAGGGTTGCCAGGTTGTTCGTACGAGCTTTCGTAGGACAGCCACATAGGAAAGATCTCATCTGCCGCCACACAGAAGGATCGTTGCTATGTTGATCACAGCCATGACCTGTAACTGTGACAAACGCAGCAGAGAAGCATGGGGTTGCATCGTTCCTCTGTTTGGAGCGCAAAAGTGACTGGTTGGGTTCTTTGCAAAACTGTATTCCAATGTATCCATAATGTTTCTCTCCCTCAAGTTTTACCTTCTGTAGCTATGGCAAGAATCCTGTCATTAAAAGGCTGCATTTTTTAGTTTTGTTTTGTCACCTTTCTTTTCTGGCCATAAAAGTCTACTGAAGAAATTGGCTTTCTATCAGAACAGGCACTTCCTTAAAGCTCTAATAAGTGAGGTGGGATTTCTTTAAGGAAATTTCTTTTCTAACTATGATTACGTACCCTTTTTTATGTATGTAGGTAAATATGCATGGCAGATGGGGACAGTTAATTCCACAGGCCGTGATGTTTACTTGATGCATACTCATGAATTTTTCAAAATACGAAATTTGGCCAGTGGATGAATTCCATTATTTTTGTCAAATACAGGTGGGAAATGTTGAAGATAATTGTAGCTTTTTTATTTTCTTAAAAAGATCTCAAATTACATGTTGTGAAGTTCTAAAAAAAATACAGAAAATTTTTTTGGTTTAGTTTTCAAGAATCATAGAACCTCTATCTTAACAAACTTAGTCTAGCCCAGAAAAAAATATTAAGGTTGCATTTAACTTCTGTCTAGGTCTCCTGGAGGTGGTTCTGCTGTGTAGTGACCTCCATGGTACAGGAAGGTCCTGTCGGGTCTCCTTTTCCTTAAATAATCAATTTATGTCAGAGAGGAAGAGGTAGGGGCAGAAGCATCTGTGTGCTATTCATCTCTTGGCCTGGGATTTCTGGCTGCTAAGTGCTATTCAAATGATAAAAAAGAGAAGTGGTGTCCCTGGATTTATATATAAATAAAAAATTCGTGGCTTGCAGGCTTTGGTAAATATATGCATAGATAAGGTTGTTTCTCTATTTTTAGGAATACACCATAGATATAATTTTTGCCCAGACTTGGTATGACAGTCGTCTAAAATTTAACAGCTCAATGAAAGTGCTTATGCTTAATAGCAATATGGTTGGAAAAATTTGGATTCCAGACACTTTCTTCCGGAACTCAAGAAAATCTGATGCTCACTGGATTACAACTCCAAATCGTTTGCTTCGAATCTGGAGTGATGGACGAGTATTATACACTTTGAGGTGGGTATTTATTAACTGGATAAATAACATTTTTATGCCCAGGAATATGAAAATAGTTAGGAGTATGAAGAAAATCCTGGGCCCTCTTATGTTGTGGATTACAGAAGTTTGCAAGGAACTTACTAGGGAGAAAAAAAAATGACGATTTGATCATGAAAAATGTGAAATGCATAATATTGAATTACATTGCCCAGTTAATAGGGTAAATAAATTGAAGAGGAAGCAGATCTGTGTCTCATTTAGACACTGCCTGCACCTAAAAGAAAGAAAAATAAATATTATGTAGCCAGTAGCATAGTGGTGATCCATCCCTAAAACATCACTGATCTAGCCATCGATTGCTTTTTCAGAGACTTCTATTCTCCTGAGTAGTATAGTATCTAATTTCCACCATGTTATGTTCATTAAGTAAAAGATGAAATGCTTCAAACAGTGAAAATCATAGGTAGTTTAACTAAGGATCAGGCTCCAGTTCTGCATATACTTCTTCATATGCTTACCTTTACAACCTTTACATTGTGCCATTAAATTCAACAAAGCTATTCTTTAACTCCAAGTTAGGCACAGGCAAACATATTTGCAAAAATTTACCTGGCAAATGTGGGATGCTTGGAATGGTTTTAAGGTCAACATCTAGGCTATCGGTACTGATATCCAAGTTGCTTATCAAACAGTTCTTGAAAGGCTGCAGTCTATAGAAAGCATTTTAGTGCTCACATGTTCTCTGTCTCTCTCTCTGTCTCTCTCTCTGTCTCTCTCTCTGTCTCTCTCTCTGTCTCTCTCTCTGTCTCTCTCTCTGTCTACAAAATTGTGCTGTAAATTAGTAGTTGATTGCCAAGTAGTTTGGGCATCCATGCAGTAGAGGATAGTGACAGGCTTAGGAAGAGCTTCATTCAGCCACCTGTACAAAGTTTCTGCTCATCAGCCAGAGCCCTGTCAGCACGAGTGTGGTCAGTAAGATGATTCAGAGTACTAAAAAGTATACTAAATTATACTAAATTTTGTATTTTCTTAGCATTGGGAATGTGTTTAATATCCTTTCAAAAGGTATGGCCATATTATCCAATAAATCTGGTTCTATACTTACAGGATTAAGACTTGTTTTTAAAGGAGCATCTTTTAAAATTAATTATTTTCTTTTCAGTCATTTACGTTATTTTCATTTGTAGGCTAGTAGTGTTGTATGAGCAATTTATAAAAGCATTCTGTGTCAGAAGTAATAAGAATTAGAGCGTTTTAGAAGAATTCTATTCACTTAATTTTTTCTTACTTTGCCTCACTTTGAAGCATATAACTTTCTAAGAAGAGCATTTTTTAAACCGTTTATCCTTATGAAGTTTATAAAAATCTCTAGGTATTTTCTTCTGTTAACATGCTAATATGTATTTCCTTATTTATTTATTGTGCTGAGCACTTCCAGGGTCATGCTTGGACTTTACCCTTCCATTGTCTGTTCAGTTTCAAAGGTATACTTTTTTTCTAAACAGAGTCTAAATGAAAAACATTTATGTGAGCTCTCCCGGAGTGATAGGCTAGAATTACAGTGCTAATATCTGAGCGATGAAGTGCAATGGGCTGCTAATAGAACAATGGAATTGGGTATTCACCCAGCACTGCCGTGTGCAAACATCTGTCTAGAACAAGGAGATTGCCTGAATTTGGCCTAAGGTAGAATAACACAGAGAAGTTCCTATGCTGGTGATTGAAGGAATGCTGGTAGGACCTGACTGTGCTGCAGGTTCTCCAGCTCCCCTATGCCACCACTGGCCTAAAGCTGTTGGTCTCTCTGTTGGACCCACCAGTGATTCCAGATCTAGTTGTATTGCCTTAAGTCTGCACTTTTATTTTTTTTAAAAGGTTGAATTACCCAAAAAGTGAAAATAGAAACCAAAGGCAAAAAATGTGTATATCATGGCTGGCACATTTGAAAAGTCTCACCAGAGGAATGCGAGTCTTTCAGTTTGAAATATGGCATATTCTTTTCCAGAGTGTGTCAGGAAATTTCCTTTAATTTACTTTCCCATATAAACTACATCTGCCTCTCTCTTGGTCAGGTCAGATTTTCAGGAAGGTCCTAGTGACACTTTGCGTAAAGTAATCACTTTGTTCCCAGGCTTGCAGGACTTTCTGCCAGTGCATGGCAAAGTCCTTCTTTCTTCATCCCAGTGTAGTATGTAAGCATGATGTTATTTTTTCAGAACTGGATTTAGAAGAAATTCTGACTTTCTTCACCGTGCTGTCAACAGAGGAGGAGCTATTCTAAATATAAAGATGGCAGTTAAGTGTCCAGCCCCTTGTTGCAGCCTCCTAGTTAAAATTAGCAAGAACTGGATTTCTCTTTTGTTGCTTGAAAGATCTTTGGAATTCTTAGATTTTCAAAAGCAGCAAGTGATTCCAGTTGTCCAAATACCATTATGAGCCCTGAACTACTTCTGAAATGTACACTAGCTACTTGCATTATCTGAGTGCCTTAGACGTTGAGTGAGTGGAAATACCGAGCCTGCTGTTTCCCATCTCTGCTGCTGTCTTCATCAGAGCTACTTCCATGAGAGCAGGCCTGTGGCCCCACCTTCTCCGCACAGTATATTGCCATCAAATATAATGACACTGAATGCCATTTGACTTGACAAATGCATTCTTTGGTAGCTTCCTTTATTTGCTGTCGTGAACTCCCCTCCCTGCCCTGCCTTCAATCTCTCCCTTTTATACGTCCCTTTTACACCCTTTTGCTGGTGAAGAGTTGAGAGATCCTCTCCAAATCAATTGACACGCTTGGAATCGCTAGATATACCAATTTAAACCACACAGGTCCTCAGATTGCATTTGATGACAATTTTCATTCTTTAGAGGTGATGCTGAGTGTTTTTTGCAGATACAAAGTTGGCTATGCATAGTATGCTTTAAATGGCAAATTTGATTTCTGTGTATATTTCTTTACTATCTAGTCTGAAGTGTCTGGATGCTTGAATATAACCTTACTGCCTTTTTTTCCCCCCCCTAATTAGGCTGACAATTAATGCTGAATGTTATCTTCAGCTTCATAACTTTCCCATGGATGAACATTCCTGTCCACTGGAGTTTTCAAGCTGTAGGTGGTAAAATACTTTGGTTTGGTTGTTTTCTGTTTTTTGGTTTTTTTTCCCGCTTTCTCTTTTTATTCAAGCTTTTAATTTCTTTGAATTTTGCCTGCAAGAGAGCAAGTGATTACATTTTAAACTCTTATAGAGAAGGAAAAGAACTGACCAGTTTATATTTTACTTAGATTTATTGCATTATTTATTGCACTTTAAATACAGTAATGAAAGAATGGTATTACATGCGTTTATTTTAATTGCAACTTTAAAAATAATCATGTTGCTTAGAAGTTTGATGTAATGCCCATTCAAGTTAATGGGAATTTGTTGTTCTAACAGAAGAGGATTTTTTTTTAATGCCTGCTAGACTTGCTAGCTTTGAATTGGTTACATGCGGTATACTTAAGAGGAAAAATAAGAGCTACCTCTCAGCCTGTTCTTGCAGCTTTTTGATCATTGTAATGAGCCCTCCTCCTCCTTTCAATGAGACTTATTTATGTGAGCAAGAGACATGAATTTTCAGGTTTAGATTCTTCAATATAAACTATACATATATATATACATATATATATATATGTGTGTGTATATAAATTAATATTTTCCTGAGATCACTGTGCTGTTACAGGCAAAAAAAACCCCCCAACAACACCTGAACACAGCTAAACAATTTATTCCTAAACGTGAAGCGTAACAGGCAATGAAATCAAACTTTAGTGATTCTTCTTAAATAAATATTTTCGTTTAATGTTTGTTTCTTGAATGCTGCCAAATAAATGAGCTTTGGCAGCTCTATCCACTAAATGCAAGGGAACCTTCTTTAATGTCATTTCTGCCTTTGTGCAGGATCATGTGGGGCAACTCTGTGAAAACTGAGTATTGCACTCCCTTAGAATTGAAGTACTGGACAATGAATCAGGCCACAAAAATCCATTCTGGGAATAGTAGAGAAAAGACATTTTCAATAAACATCTATAGGACTTTTATCAAACTATGTGTTAAAATATATTATCTGTATTTGTAAGCCCTTTATATTCTTTTAAAGCTATGTTGTTGTACATTACATTTATAGATTAATATTTAGTGATGATTCTGAGCCAGTTGTTCATGTCTGAGTATAAAAATATTGCGTACATATTCCCTAGACATTTGTATTTACGTAGTTGTTGGTTGATCATACATTTAGCTAGGCTTAAAACTGAGGTTAGACATTTTTTGGTTAAATTTAAACAGCGTATCAGGTAGATTCTTGAGTAACTTGCTCTGTGATCCAGTTAATATCACAGAATCACAGAATGATTTAGGTTGGAAGGGACCTCTGGAGATCATCTAGCACAACCCTCCTGCTCAGGCTGGGTCACCTAGAGCACATTACCCAGGACTGTGTCCAGATGATTTTTGAATACCTCCAGTGAAGGAGACTCCACTACCTCTCTGGGTAACCTCTTCCAGTGCTCTGTCACCCTCACAGGAAAGAAGTTTCTCCTCCTGTTCAGATGGAACTGCCTGTGGTTCAGTTTGTGCCTGTTGCCTCTCGTCCTGTCTCTGGGCACCAGTGAGAAGAGGCTGGCCCCGCCCTCTTGACACCCTCCCTTCAGATACTCAGACACACTGATCAGATCGCCTCTCAGTTTTCTCTTCTCCAGGCTCAACAGGCCCAGCTCTCGCAGTCTTTCTTCACAGGAGAGATGTTCCAGTCCCTTCATCATCTTCGTAGCCCTCCGCTGGACTCTCTCCAGGAGTGCCATGTCTCTCTTGCACTGGGGAGCCCACAACTGTCCTCCCCAGGGCTGAGGAGAGGGGCAGCATCACCTCCCTCCACCTGCTGGCAACACTCTCCAGCAGGTCAGCCCCCAGCCTGTATTGCTGCATGGGGTTATTCCTCCCTAGGTGCAGGACCCTGCACTTGCCTTTGTTGAACTTCAGGAGGTTCCTCTCCGCCCAGCTCTCCAGCCTGTCCAGGTCCCTCTGAACGGCAACACAGTCTTCTGACGTGTCAGCCACTCCCCCCAGTTTCGTACCATCAACAAACTTGCTGAGGAGGCACTCTGTCCCTTCCTCCAGGTCATTGATGAATACATTGAACAAGACTGGACCCAGGACTGAGCCCTGGGTGATGCTGCTAGCTACAGGTCTCCAACTAGACTCTGCGCCACTGATCACAAACCTGAGCTCTGCCATCCAGCTAGTTCTCAATCCACCTCACTCTCCACTCATCCAACCCACACTTCCTGAGCTTGCCTACGAGGATGTTACAGCATCTAAAGCTGCTTGCTGAAGTCAAGGGAGACAACATCCCTCTCCAGCCTGTCCAGGTCCCTCTGAACGGCAACACAGTCTTCTGACGTGTCAGCCACTCCCCCCAGTTTCGTACCATCAACAAACTTGCTGAGGAGGCACTCTGTCCCTTCCTCCAGGTCATTGATGAATACATTGAACAAGACTGGACCCAGGACTGAGCCCTGGGTGATGCTGCTAGCTACAGGTCTCCAACTAGACTCTGTGCCACTGTTCACAACCCTATATATAGCCCTGATTTAGTTTATAAATAATTTCAGAGATCACAAGTGAAAGCATGCTTTGTTATTTACTGCAACTGAACGCTTGATTTGTTCTGCTTTATTTTAGATGGATATCCCAGAAATGAAATTGAATACAAATGGAAGAAAACCTCTGTTGAAGTGGCAGATCCAAAATACTGGAGATTGTATCAGTTTGCATTTGTAGGGTTACGAAATACAACTGAAATTTCTCATACCCTGTCCGGTAAGGCAAAATGTAGTTTTACTGCATGTAATAACAATGTAGAGCAACAGCAACAGATAAATATACAACTTAAAACTTTGCAATGCCTACTAAGATTTTTTTTTTAACTTATAGGTGATTACATTATTATGACAATCTTCTTTGATCTGAGCAGACGTATGGGATATTTTACTATCCAGACATACATTCCTTGTATACTGACAGTTGTTCTTTCATGGGTGTCATTTTGGATCAATAAAGATGCAGTTCCTGCAAGGACATCTCTGGGTATGTATGTCTATTCTCAGCCTTGAAGGGTCCAGTACTACTTGGGAATACAAATCTGCAGAAGGCAGTAAATTAACCAGTTTATTCCCCTTCAGACTGTGACCGCTGGTCACCCTTTCTCTTGAACTTCAAGATTAAGAGAAGGAGGATCCTGCTGTGGTTGCACGACAGGGCTTAAGGAGAGAGTGTTGTGAATGGAAATCTTCTGGAAATAGTGATTCAAGCCTTGTGGATCTGCTGCTGTTCTCATAAATACTTTTTTTTTTCCCCTTTATGTTCTTTTTGTCATCTCCAGGGACAGCAATATGGCAATGATTAGTCTGACAAGTTTGATTAAACTTCCCTTAGCGTCATGGAAGAAAGGATGTTATTACTACACAAGGGGAAATCCAGGAAGATCTAGATTTCTAAAAAGTAATGAAAATGATTCATTTGTTCTTTTAAGCCCAAGATAAGGAAAATTTGCAACCAAAGTTGCACTTCAAACTGCTGTGTTTAGCCCTTATAAAAACCTCACTCGCTGTCCTTAGGGATTTTGTTTTTACCACAGACATTACTGAAGTATTACAAGTTCTGCTACAGAGCTTATTCTTTGGCAGTGCCACCTGGGCCGAGCTGTTTGGCAAGGCATCAGTCTCCTAACTTTGACCACTAGGGATTTATGTTCTGCCTTGGAGAAGTGCCTCATACCCCAGAGACACACAATATGTAGGAGTGCCTGGAGCATGTGGCATGCACACTAGCAACTTTGAGCTTAACGCTGACAGATGCTTTTAGTAAAACTGGTGGTGGCACTATGATCTGTTTTGTGGAAAAAACCAAGGATAGAGAGTACATTTTAGGAAGTGAGAGAGATGAGTTAATTTCCCTCACCAGTTTATAGGATTGCGAACACACCACCTCCACATTGTAGGAGCAGTTCCTGCCAGAAGAGTGAGTCCAGGCTTTAACTCTCTGCCTTTCCCACTGAAACTGGACCACTTTGCTGTTGAACCTACAACATTAATGCATTAAGAAAGAAAGTAAGCAAAAATGAACATGGCTCCGTAGCATAATGAAAAGGTAAGGGAAAGAAAGTTTGAGTCTTGGACCTTAACTTTGTACTATTTCAAAGTTCTGCAAAAAAGCTTAGAGAAGAGAGCCTAAAAGCCTGCATAAATGAGTGGAAATGTCTGTAATATTTAGACGCTATAAAATTTCTTTGACTTACTAAACATTGCACATAAATCTCGTTGTGCGCATAGCCTGGAAAGACACCAGCTTTAACCAGAAAAGCTGTACTATCCTGCTCGTTCTGTATGCCGTTTGTTCTTTTTACAGAATAATCTTTTTGTGCCAATAACCTAGCAAATTCACCTTGGATCAAATGATGAAGCCAGAGTTTTCATGCTCCCACTTCAGCAATACTAACCTTCATCTACTTGAGATGTACTGCAAGCATTTGCAGTGTCATATTTACAGCTCCATCCAGTTAACTCTGAGTTAGCTTCGGTGACTTTTGCATGAGCTTGCAAAAGCCTGTTGGAGTGGCAAACTGTAGGATTATTTTTCTCATAGATAGGTATCCTGGTAAAGAAAAAAAGAGGTTACCAGTGGAATAAGCAACATTTTATAGAGAATGATGAAATTAAAACAATAACGCCCAAAGTAGGGTCCATTGTGGCTAGCAGCCGTGGTGCTGTGGAAGGTTTGCTCACCGAGACAGCTCTCTATATGCCTTGCACAGTGGAGAGGACTGAGAAAGTCTATGTCTCCTTTTGTCTTCTGAGCAGAAGTCAGTAGCAAGAATGGTGGGAATTGCTTTCCACCACTGCGGCCTGGTACGCTAAAAAGGTTCAGGCCTTTTTCTTGCATCTATGTTGAAAGACCCTGACAGATTGTGGTTTCCCAAAGCAAAATGGTCCAGATTATTAAAGGTGTTTAGGCATTTAATTATGCAGAGAAGTGCCTAATTGATTTTCAAAAGCATCTAGTGGGAGCTAAGCACTTTTGAAAAACTCTGTGGTTACCTATATGCCATGTTAGGCATTTGATTCTTTTGAGAAATCTGTTGCAAAATTACCACTGTTTTCCTGCTGCAGGATCAGTCAATAGCAACCTCTGATTCCGTGCTTTGATTTAAAAGTCATAGCTAGTCTTAGATTGGTGTAACATGTTTTGTGTAATAAACTTGCTTATGTAAATAACAGAAATTCGTTATGTCTTCAAGTATTGCTATCCAAAGGAAAGGTCTCGTCTGAATTTTGGACTACTATCAAAAAAGCTTTGCCTCTCCCTGAAGCATCAAATATAAGAAGAAAGTGTTAAACTACTGAACAGCGTTTTAGTTGAGATTGTAAACATACAGCTACTAGGGCCAGCTTGTTCATGTAATTAACTTTTGTATATAAGTGAGTTGAGTGAAACATTTTCTATTACCTAAGAGACAGCGTTGAGAAAATATCTAGTAACGTGGAGAATGAGATGAGAAAGGCCCTGTAGATCATCTGGTTTGACCTATTATACGTCAGAAGCAATTTAAGATATTATTCTTTTTTCTCATGTTTTCTGAAAGTTTTAAATCATTGCCATCCTCTGAAAATTTTTAAATCATTGACATATAATGCATCTTTTGCTTACTTAAAAATGATTATTTTGGATACTACAATCTTTCAAGAGCCAAAGGGCCTTTATCTGCTTATATAATGTCTGTTTATTTGTATCTGTTTATTTCTGTTTATTGTATTTGTTGTATTTTTTCTTTTTATCTTATAAACTTTCTTAGTGTTTTTGTGTCTTTAGTGTTTATTGAAAACAGGAGGGATTTAAAGTAAAGCTGAAATCTTCCTTCTGTGCGATCTGTGGCCACGGGATCCATATGGATGGCTTCTTGTGATAGCACTGGTGTGCATGGGTGCGTGTGGGTGTGATCTGAGGTGAACCCTGCTGCGGGTCAGTTATATGCCTCACCAGTGAACGAAGAGGTAATCTGAGGAATTTTTGTGACAATATGACTGGATTATTTATTTATACGCTTCCCTGTCTTTCTTTCTTCTGCAAACAGGTATTACGACAGTGTTGACCATGACAACGCTGAGTACAATTGCTAGGAAGTCACTCCCAAAGGTTTCTTATGTGACAGCAATGGACCTCTTTGTTTCAGTTTGCTTCATTTTTGTGTTTGCTGCCTTGATGGAATATGGCACTTTGCATTACTTTACCAGTAACAGAAAAGGGGACAAAGGAAAAGAAAAGAAGGCAAAATCCAAGCCATCAGTAAGTTCAGTCCAGCAATTCAGAAGAAAAAAGAATTACGGAATGCTGTTTATTGTAAAATTAATTCTGAGGGACTGGTTCCCAAGCAGAAGGGCTAATTTTCAAAGATAATTAACCCACTAATTTTTATACAGTTGAGGGCTTGTATTCATTTTCAGTAAATACTGTTGATGAATGAACAGAACTTTTGGATTATCTTAGTCATATGTGAGTGAGAACATATGAGGCTAAGCTAGAAAATAGTTTAATATAATTTTCCATGTGGTACACAGCCTCTCTGTGCTTTCAGAGCTGCCTGTGAAGTTGCCCCGACAGTTCTGTTTGGGCACAGTGCTTCTGATAGCAGCACCTGGCAAAGAACCGTAGATAAGAGTGTAGTGGTAGAGAATAATGTGAATGGACTGAAGATATGAGGTTTGTTTGGGTCTGCATCACTTAACCTCACTTGGGTCTAACTTCACTAACATTTTGAAGAAAAAAAATACCTATTTCTAGCCAGAATTCTAAATCTCTTCAACTTCATAAATTCTACTTCAAGTCTTTTTTAAATTCACTTGCTTGTTTCTTTCTAGCAAAATGAACCTCTTGCTGTGACAAGTTGAGGTTGGTGTGCTGTGAATCCCCACATATCCTAGGAACAAATATTTCTCAGTTTTAAGAAACTTTCTGTTCCTTTAGCAGATATACTGGAATTTCTGAAGAATCTGTTTTTGGAAGCCAGTAAAATATTGGAAAGCTAATCTTTAAATTAATGAAACATTGGGGGAAAGGCATTAAGTGTTTTATTCTTTGAAACACTGGTCTTAATAGCTGAGGCTTGATCATCGCCTCCTTTGGGAGAGGATAATAGAGAGGACAGACACTTCCAGATCATTTCAGTAGAGCAAGCTAGAGCATAACTGAATCATAATGTGAGTTGTCTTTCCTGGGGGAAAGGCTAAATGCCACTTGTGTAAGATCAAACAGAAGTTGAATTGAAGTTAGGGAAGCCCAGACGTGGAAATGTAGAAACCCTGGCATGAACCGTATCTATTCTGTGACTCATGTTGGAAGAGCACTAGTTTTCACCTTCTCATAAGTGCCACAGGGATGGATGGTCTTACGTGGGTCGTTTGGGACCACTGTGGCTAAATACTAGGGAAATGACAGCCCTTAGACTTCATACGGACAGCTGGTAACGGGGAGCTGGTCTGACTGGATCAGCTGTGTCTTTAGGAGAAGACTAGAGCAGTGAAGGGCTAAGACAGCTTTATCCTGCCTTGGGCATCCCCGAGATCCTCAGGGAGTCCAGCCCAACTGAGAGAACTGGAAGCTGCTGGGAAAATGGAAATCTCAACCCTCCTAGTGTAAGGGGCATATGTGGTCAGGAAACAGGCTTTGGCAAGGGGCACAGTTGAGCTATGGAGATAAAAGATACAGAGGCTGCAAAATTTGGGGGACCTTTCGGGGTTAGTAGCAGTTTCAGTTTTAGGTTATTGTTGCAATGAGGTATCAGCAACACTTTGCTGTGGCCTTGATGGTCAGACGGCACATGGAGCAGAAGTCGGTTTGCTCTCAGCACACATGACAAGGAAAAGGGAGACAATTTCTTCAGGCCAGGAAGAGATCAGTGGGTGGCAGATCAACAAAAGTTAAATGGAATGGAGCGCTTGGACTTCCCAGAACGTATCTTTCCGTATCAACCATTTATGCAATAATTTACTCTATGGCTTGAGATTTTTCAGTGCATGTAACAATGTAAAATGTGGAATAATGGTGGACTAGAAACTTGGGAACTTATTGACTAAATAGTTGGCAGTTAAACTAAGATTAAAATTAGCAATAAAATACCTGAAATGCTATTTAATTATGCTTTATTCTGTTCTTAAAGCATGCTTTTACTTCTAAGGATTTAGAAAAACCGACTTTCCCTTCACCCAGAATTCTTTAACATGTTTCAGCAAACTAAAAAATGGCTAGAAGAACATATTCAATAAGTGATTACTCTAAAAATAGTGTTCTTAATTTAATGTACTTAGATTGCAAAGGATTCTAATTCAATCAAAATGGTTTTTGTTTAGTGAAGTTTTATGAGATGCTGTTAAATTTCTTGTTCCAAATGGAACAATTAAACAAGCCATCTGATTAATTAAAGGGAAATTGTACAGTTACAAATACAGATTTTTTTTTTCTTTTTTTTATCATCTTTGTCAAAGACTTCATTCTTTTTCTCTTGTGGTTATGGATGTGTAATTCAAAAACCCCCGAATTAAATAGTCAGTTGAATTCTGCATGAAAAGATCTCATTCAGTTTTTTCTTTTTCTTGGAAAACTTACCTTGCATAGGTCCTCTATTTCTATTGCAAAATGCAATAAAAGCTTATTATTCCAGGAACTGATGCCAAGAAGGTGCTGTAAAAGATCTTGTGAAGAAATGGTGAGATTTTGTGAGTGATTACAGAAGTTTTATTTTACAAAAAGTGCACTAGCATCATTCAAGTAAGGCAGTATGAATTGGCTTATGCAAAGCCACCATTAGTAAGGGTAATGAGCTTGGGCTGGTAAGATTAAATTTAATTAGTTTTGGATCTTCTTTCGATCATCATTTCACCTGAAGTGAATGCATCACCTGTGTTATGAGCTCAAAAAGTGCGTGGATGATGGCTTTCTTTTATACATGTGTTGATGTTTTGTGTTAATGCAGAATAATTCGATTTTCATCTTACCAGAGTGTATTATAAATGCTTCTCACTGTATGTAGAGTTTCATCTACAATATGATCAACCATCTACATGTACAATCAACATGTATATACTGTATCATATTAAAAGATTATTTTTAAGTTGCTGCCAGTTGATCAGTTGATAGAAGGTCATGTTATTCTGAGGTATTGAGTTCTGCTTCGCTGTGCACTGTAAGCCCATTTTTATTCCAAAAAATGACTCTAAGAGTGCTGGAGAAAACTTTTTTTTTTTTTTTTTAATAAAATGAGTTTGGAGGATTTTTAAGTTATCAGTTTTCATTTACAGTTGCCTCATGTTTTCTGGAGTAGGACCTTTCTGAAGACCTCAGTTCTTCTCAGTAGTCTCCTAGTTCATTGTTTAGGAATTCTAGATACAGTTTCGTTCTCTGATGCAGGTCCATGTTGGGCTAAGCAGCTAAGAATTTTTTTCTTTTGCCTCTATCCTTTCCTGACCGCTAGATTTACCTTTAGGGTTTCCCTTGATCTTCTTTTTTAAAACTTTATCTTCATAATTTTTCTAAATCTGTTCTCCCCTTTCCTTCAGATAGTCTCTTTCCTACATGCTCTTCATATATTTCCTGTAAGAAATTAGGCGTATAAGATAGCACTGTCTTTCTGCCTCTCAGGCCACTTCCAAAAGTTTTTAATTCGGTAGCCAGTTTCAATCTACTCTGGCATTTGTTAAACAGACTGTAGGGTAGGGGAGGGACACACTAGTAAAATGAATAATAAAAGAAACTCAAGAGCAAACAGTCCTTACTGGCTGCTAGAGAATGCTCTTGGTAATTCAGCCAAAAGGCACAAACCTCAGATTTCTTTGTCTCCGCTTATCATGGGACTGTTTTGTTGTCTGTCCTCCTCAGCTCTTCTGCTGTGGGATGCTGTCATTGCTTATTTCTCTTCTCTGAATTGGTTTTCTGGGATATGCTAGCAATTCTTTTCAGGAGTGGGCGACTACTGTAGTAATCCGAGTGGTAATTTAGGTCTTGTGACGTTCAGCAAATGTACCCTTGCAGCGTGAAGCGTCCTGCGCCTTTTCAGGGTGAAAGCAGACGGTGCCTGCATTGGTTATGAAGCCACGTTATGTTCTTTACTATGCATGGTCATCTTAATCTTGTATAATGCATAGTGAGCACTTTGATTGTTAAAAGACATTTTTATAAATTGTATCTACCCTGGGGATAGATATGATAGGTGCTTTCCAGATTAGGCACAGATTAGAATTAGCAATGAATTCTCAGGAAATTAGAGAATTATGGAGCTTTTATTTGACAAGTAGTGAAACGCAATACCTCTTTTCTTTCTCCTCTGTGTGTTGTTAATGAGTTTGGGGATTATCCAGGTAATTATTTGGAAGTGGGGCAATAGGCGTCTAAAACACAAGAATCTAAATGATGTGGCTTCCTGCTTTTTATATATTATCATTGCCTATCATGTGTAATTGCTTAGAGAGATTCTTCTGTATGCTTTGAGGTCCAGAGTTGTTAATTACTTTGCTGTAAACTCACTTCTTTAGTTCCTCTACTACATTCTTTCCTATCATTTTTATTCCTTGCATTTAAAAAATATGGAGATAGTAAAAGAAATAGAAGAAAATATAAAAGCAGTATTAACGTAACAGTTATCTTCAGAATGAAATTTTTAGAAGAGGTGCCAAAACTGAAAGAAGAAAGAGTGAACAAGAGGACTATAGAGTAGTCTAGAAAGGCTATGAGATTTAGAAAAAGGAACAAGAACAGATGCGGAAAGGGAGAATGTCTTAAAAAATATGTGGGAAAAGAAGGATAAAAAGTTGAAGAACTGCATGGAAACAAAATAATAGAAGGAGGACAGATGGATTATAGTAGTGCAAGTGAAAGGAAATTAAAAACAAAAATCCGGGGAAAGGAACAGCAAATGGTCTATGTATAAGGCAATAAAGCACCTGTTTTTTTTTCTTATATTAAAATAGTTTATGAACCTTAATAGCTTTTACACTGAATTTTTAACAAATTGCAAGAGGGTTGAGTTATGCCACTGAAGGTAGAAATAAGAATTAAGAGCTGCATCAGTTTACAGACTTGAATGGCATTCTCCACAGCAGCCTACGTCTTGGTTTCTAAGTGCTGGTTATTACCAGCTTGGTTATTACCTCTGATTAACATCAGAGGGATGTTGGATGACTTAGTCTGGCCTTATATGTGTCACAATTTCTTAAACCTCACCAGTGATGCTATACTAATCCCACTAGCTTGTTTTGGCTCAAATGAGGCTTTCAGAAACGCATCCAGTTTTCTTCTGAGGGCTGCAAATGATGGGAAACAATCATTCCCTTGATAGTGATACTTATCCTACTTGTGGACTTGTTTGTGACCCAGTTGCCAAACTGACTGACTTCAGAACGTTCTTGTGTGTTGCGTAGATGAGGTCAGCTAACCCTGTCTGTGTAACTAATTATTCAGTATTCCCAAATCCCAGCACAACCCAGATTTTACTGTGGCAGGTGAAAAGCATTCATGATCTTTTGCCTGCCTGAGCTGATTATATACAGCAGCTAATAATTCACCACGCTCCCCAACTGTTTTCTTTACCGTTTGAAATTCAGTATGTTGTACTGACTGTGCTTATACTGGCCTTTCCTGTGGGAAGTCCATGGAATGTTAGTAATCTGAGGGGAAAGAAAAACCTGTATTTTTCTTCCTTTCTTTCCTTTTTTTCTTTTCTTTTCTTTTTTCTTTTTTTTTTTTTTAAGAAACCACCTGCAATTGCTGTTCGACCTGGATCAACACTAATTCCAATTAATAACATTAATCATCTACCTGAACGTGATGATGATTATGGATATGAGTGCCTAGAAGGGAAAGACTGTGCTAGCTTCTTTTGTTGTTTTGAAGACTGCCGCACAGGATCTTGGAGGGAAGGAAGGATACACATTCGTATTGCAAAAATTGACTCCTATTCTCGAATCTTCTTTCCAACTGCCTTTGCATTGTTCAATCTTGTTTATTGGATTGGCTATCTTTATCTATAAATTTCAGAGGTTTAACAAACTCAGAAAAAGGCTAACTCACCACTGATACTTACAACTTATTGAACAGTCAAAGATTAGAGCTGGTCCTGAGTCACTAAAATTGTCTAGATGCGTTAAAAATTTGAAATAAAGGGGGGCAATATGGTGATCCCTCTTGTTACCAATTTTAGAGCTGATTTTGTTTTTAGTTCTGAAGAGAAAATTTAAAAATAAGTACTTATAAGACTTAACTTGTCTGAACACTCCCATTTTTCTCCAGCTCTAACAAAATGCAGAGACAAGAGGCTACGTTTTTGAAATGGACAGTTCTACATAACCTTTCAATTTTAATCCTAAATGACAAAGCTGATAAATTTTGTAGCATCTCTAACACCACAAAGAAAGCCTTAATAAAATTGGATTAGTTATTCTCATCTGTTTCTTCTATAAGGTGATGATTTTTATGAATTCCTGACTTTAGAAAGTCGAAATGGAATGTTTCTTATTTTTCAGCTAGCCATTTGTCCTCTGCAGTATCTTAAAGTGTAATTAAGTCATAGTTAATGCCATTCAGATTTATACAAAGTCATAACATGAGCAGCAAGAAATGGATATATCACAAAAACACAAGGGCAATTCTGAGCTTGTCTCATGCTGACCATTTATGTAGGCTTTTTAGCTTCAACCTGAGATTACATTTATGTCTGTGCTTCATCTGCCATAACTTAACTGTTGTGAGTTCATCAGAGTTCTCCAATAGGGCTACGACTTTCCAAGGTTCCTGACGAGCTGCCGTCGCTTGGCGCAGCTCTGCTAATTTCATGGAAACCAGGCTGATGTCGACTAACTGAAGTTCCTAGCTATTGAGAGTAATGTTTTTTCATTTCCTCACCATTCTCCCTCTCCTTAGTCTGATTCATACTCCGGATCACAGAAAGCATTATCTTCAGTAACATTTCACTGGCATTTGGGAAAACTCTGGCAATGCTATAGTCATTATATTCAAACCTGGTAGGTTGGATCTCCGGTCCTCAGAGTAAAGTGTATAACCTGCTCCACTTTGCATACAGTATGATTTTTGTCGATTCTGCTTGTTTCTGCGTACGCCATTTACTGAGCCAAATCCAAGTTATATGAATGTACAGAGCCTGTATTATGGATTTATTTGTAGTAATTCCTTGATATTTGTTTGTTTTTTAATAGCAAATCCATGTTATGGGGGAAAAAAAATCCTTATGTATTGCAGATCATTATGCGAGATGGGATGTATCCCAAAAAATCATAGGACTGGCTCTCCAGCCTCTCTGTAGTCAGAGCTTCTGTTCATTTTGTTAGAAATTCTTCAGTAGTGGTCTTTCTGATTTGACTTCTCTATATGTTGACTGTTACTGGCTGCCAGCCAAGTAGTATCTCATTTCTATGTTTAAATCCATTGTCTTCATTATGAGAAAGTGCAGTCCCTCCTCCTTTCTCAGAAAGAAACTGGTCTCAAGTGAGCTTGCAAAAATCACTGTAAAATTAAGATATCCATTAAATAAAAGTCAGAACTACAGAGGGGACCTTACAGATCTTTAAAGGGGATTAATGGGATTAGCATTTGGCTCTAGGTAAGGATGCTCCGTGCTGGAGATGAAGACATGATTAATGGCTAATAACAGAAAATGATATGTGAAAGACTCGTCCCTCCCCCAGTGTTTCTACTGAATGTACTCCCTCCTCTGAATTTGTCTCAGAAGAGATTAATGTATCTTCATATGGTTGTTGGTACCAGACATGATTTGATAAGCAATACAAATTCAAGAGAAATGCTGCTGCGGTATTCAGCCCCAAAGTTTAATAAAGTATGCAAGACTGTATGAAGTGATTCTGGAAGACAGTGTGATGAAGAAGATCCCATTTTAATGCAAACTTTATTTCAGTATTTAACTGATAAAATATGAAAGTAGTTGAGAGAAATCTGAAAATCTGCTGTTGAGATTGACGGACTGTATCTGTTGTGTGACTTCTCTGAGCTGCGACTTCTGACTGTTGCATCCTTAAAGTGAGGGTAAAAGTGAGGCATCCTTAACAACACTGATGTACTATAATTTATTGTTTCTTTAGAGTCTCATTTTCAGAAAATATTCAGTACAATAGAAATGTGTCAGTTTTAATTCCATAGTGCGGTTTGATGGTTTTTGACAGCACACTAAACATATTTCTCAGTAGGAGGCATGAAGGTGGCTTCAGTAGTATATTGGGTGTACACTTGAAAAGCAAGCCTACTTGCTCTGCAGTACAAGCCCCAATTGTGTGAGCTTCTGAGCTTCATTAACTCACCTTTAAGCAAATGGAACTTGAAAGAACTTGGCCCTTCAGAAGGGGAAATACGAATTTCACAGCCCGCTCTCCTCTGGCATTTCTAGATAGCTTTTTCTATTCACTTGGTTGTCAGTTGCCAATCAGCCTCCAGTGATTGAACTGAAGAACAGAAAACGTCCTGAGTTGGCGAGGGGTGGATAAGAAATCTTTCATGTCTAATTTCTATGAAACAATGTAATGGAATATTAAAGCCAGTGAATTTTATGGCTGTTTGCCTTACGGATGCACTTGCTTCTGTCTGTTGACAAACTTTTCTGTGTACCTCATTTGGTTTTGATGGAATCATTTCAGCTTCCCATAGCACTGAGAGTGCAAATGCAAATGGGAATGCAGCAAACTGTAACTTAGCATGTAATAACTGTATTATTTTAGCCCTATCTGTTTTCTTCCTAATCTGCATGTGAACACTTGATTCTAAGAGATCTAATTGATATTCATAAAAAAAAATGGCAAGAAACAGAGACTCTGGTTACCTAGGCTTAGATGCTACAATTATTTTTCAAATGTATGTGGATAAAAGATTTCATTTATTGATAGCTGGGATCACAGTATTTGGAGTCATATTATTCTGGCCATTAGTACTTAAGCACATGCTTAAAACTATTCCTAATCAGTACTGTAATTAGGCCAGAATTCAGGAAAGCATGTGCTTATGTACTGTCATAAAAAGTGATGATATGCTGAAAAAGTGCCATTAACATATGCTTAGCTTGCACTGAGTTCAGTAATGAGTGTTCAGTAGCTCAAATGATTGAGCACTAAGGATGCGAGCCAAAGCCTATTCAGGAAAAAGTTTTTGCATTGAAAGAAAGGGACATAGGATGAGAATTTACCGTAGAGGTGGAGAGGTGAGAAACGGGTCTGAAAAAATTGCTTTAAACTACCTACCTTGGAGGTCTCCTGAAAAGTATTTTTCCAAAACAGACACCTTTTCCTGGATATTTCTGTGTTTGTGTTGACCATTTGTCTGTTTTAGTAGTGAGTACAGTTCAGTGTGCTATTTTTCAGTAAGGTGTTGTTTATGATTGTGCCTTACTAATCTTCAGTGCATGTTTTCTACATCTGTTTCGTATAATGTCAGTGCAACCATAGCATGAATTCTAAGTAATGTGTTTTTTTATGCGTGTATTGATGTGCTTCAAAGGCTTTAACCTTATCCAGTTTTCTGACGTTCAGAGACATAGGATTGTGTAAGATTTTGAAGGAGAATCACCTCCAAGAGGGTTTTTATAATTATCTGTTGCTTATTTGAGATGGTAGAAAAAGATTTGTTTAAACCTGATATTTGAAATGTTTCGTAATTTGTGAGCACCTTTGCTATTTTAGTTAAAAAGCCCAACAGAAGGAATCTGGGTGTTAAATCTGTGTATCTGCATAAAGTAAGATATATTCAGTTTAACTGTATCAATCATCATCTCAGTTTACTTTGTTTCCAAAAACCTGAGAATTAATGCAAATAAGTCTAATTTACATTTCTAAAATCATTGCTAATTTAATCCTTTTAACTATTCTTTCAGTACATTGTGATTCTCCTCAGCTTATACACTAAATGCAGTCTTTTGTTTTTGAAATATCCTTTAAAACTGTAATTTGTAATGATTATAATTGATATAGTAAATAAAATTAAAATTGAAATCTACAGCTAAAGTACAGTTTACTACAATACAAACCTAGAAATTAGAAAGGAATGATTTTCTTCTATTTCTGAAAAACCTCACTGTCCACATGCCCCAATGAATACGTCACAGGGGAGACTGGCTTGTGGGAAGAGGCAGAAGCTTCTCCAGGCCATAACAAAGGCCTCTGTACTGGTTCATACTATAGACTTGTTAGATGAGTGGTTTAGGCAAGGAAAGGTATGGTTCTGTCCTTCCCTTTTCAGCGGTCCCTTGCTGCTGCTTCACTTGCACCAGCTATAACAGTTCTGAGGCCATGTGGCCAGCTGAATCAAAGACTGAAAGTTTATCATTTATTATACTGTTTAATAAGTTAAGGTTTCAGCCAAATGAGTGGGCTAATCTGACTGACCGTGCAGCAGTATGACCATTAGTTCTGTTGCAAGACAGGTGATGGGAGCTTGCAGCTGGAGCCAGAAGGCTGGCTTCTTATGATGAGCATATTTCATTCAGTTGAGAATCTGCACCTAAAGCTAATATGGAGGAAAGGGAAAGATGGAGGGGAAAAAAGATCACCCGAGGAAGTGATCCCAGCATATGATTACACTGATCCCAATGACTTATACTTAGTAACTGAGTTTCTCAATGGTATTTGTGATAATTCTCTTGATTTCCCTGCAACATAACTGAATTAGTGTTAAAAAAAAAGAAAGAAAATACCAGACATTTCCTATTAATTACAGACTGAATGAGCGACAGGTCATTATCTTGAATGATCATTGTTCCGGTGAGATTTCCTCCTTCAAGGATATTACTGCTACTAAGGGTTTAAATCTGAATTAAATCAGAAAAAGTTCTCTTTTTTTCCTACTTTAATTATTGATGATAGAACCTTAAAAAATTATATTGGAGGATAAATTAGTAAAATAAACAGGAGGAAAGAGCTAGTATCCAGGTCTCTGTCTGTAGCACCCCATGAGTGCTACAACGTTTGGGAATGGCATCCGATCCATTCTGCATTTGTTCCCTGGTGCCCTCCCACCTTCACTCAGATGTGTGCTGTGTGGGGTATGCCTGGTTCAGAAAAGCCTAGTGCTAATGACTAGGGCAATCCTTAAGGGAGTAGGAAAGGTGGATATGGTCATTTCAGGCATGAACTTGGGTATCCAGCCTTCTCCAAGGATGTTGGTAACAGTTGCTAGTTAAAAGGAAGGGTGTTTTCTGCCTGCTGGACTGTGATTTGAAACAGTGTCCCTGCTTTCCTTCAGAAGATTGAGCTGAGACTTCCAGATGAAGGGAAAAGCATCTCTCTGCTGAATACTTATCTATGAATAGATGCAGGACCATTGAATTGGCTCTCCTCCTGTTAGGCACCTAAGTATTGCCCATATGAAACAGTGGGAGAGTTTTCATTGCACTCTTGGGCAGGGTGGCTGAGCTTATCCCGGTGCTCCGTGTTGTGGATTCTGAGTCCTGATTCAGGTCTGGTATGATCTTAATGAAAAGGTACTAGTATGTTGAAAGGCAGTGAATACTAAACTTTCCAGATGATTTACTAGTAAATCTCATAGAGAAAACCAGAGCACTGTGAAGGCTTTAGAAGAAACTTCAGATACCCATTTGGGGCAGAAGACTAGATAAAACTGTGATACACTAAAGGGATGCAGGCCTTTACCCATAGGCAGGTCTTGGGGCCAGCCAAAAAGTCAGCAATATCTTATTTCTAAAAACCCTAAGTCTTCATGGAATTTTAAGGAAAAAAAATCTATACGTATCAATTCCCAAAACAATCTCATTCCCTTTCACAGTGACAAATCTTGCTTTACCCAGTGAATCTCAGTTATGGTAGACCAACATAACGTGTGTTGTGATGCCACCACAAAGGATGTAAGACAGAAGACCTATAGACTGTTCCAGATCGTTTTTCCTTTCCTTCCCTTTTCTTAGTCAAGAGTTTCAGAAGTGTAAAAGGTGTATGGCAAGTGAAAACGAGGACAAGTTTCCTACCTGACAGCAGGGCCCAGATCCCAATAACTGACAGGATCAATAGAGACAGAAGTCTGCTTCCAGTAATAAGGCTTCTCTTTTGTAATTCCTTCTACAACGCCTTCTAGCAATTGCTTTTCTATTCATTTCTACATGCCTACCTGAAACTCTGAGATAATTCAGGTTGGAGGTAATTCTCTTGTATTTCTGCCTTCACAGAATGATCTTTATCATCATGCTTTGAGCCTTGATGCATTCAAAAGAAAAGGCTTCCTCTTCCAGTTTGCCTGGCCAGGCCTTGCATGTGTGTAATGTCTTACCACCAAAATTTGGAAAAGTGATTTTTAGTTGATCCAGTGGAGGAGGCAGACTGGCTCCACAGGGTAGTGTTAAGATTGCTTTGTGATTTGGCCTTGAAAAGGTTAAGGGCTGTTAAAGAAGTGATCGATGCCGCCCCTCTAGAGGGTGGATTACTTCTGTCAATTCAATATTTAAAAACAGAAAACAAAAGCAGCTGCTGTGAGTGGATTAGGTGTGGGAAGTGAAGACTGAGTCATTATTTCACTGAGGAAATATATTTCCCCTTTGGTTATTTTTTCTCATTAGGAAGAGGGTAAATAGGAGTCTCTGATTTGTGGAACCTACAGAAAGCAGGTCACAGTCATTTTAATTGAGTGAGGTGACATTTGTCCCTCTGCCCCACTGATTTTGTAAGAGCAGCAGCCGTGAAGGGACTGGCACCGTGGCTCAGATTTCCCACGTTAGGTAAATGCAGACATTTGCATATTCATAGGTCCAGTGTCAAAACACAACCTCTGTTCACTCATTAGTCATTGGCAAAATTATGATGGTTTGTGTACATGTCTGTCTTCACTGCATTGTTTGTTTTGTCATGTTGCCCACTGTGAATGCTTGGAATTTCTGTGCGAAGTTGAGGGCTGTGTTATGATACCTGTAATTATGGATTAAATTATTATAAGATGTAAATATTTCCTTAAATGAAAGTAAAGCATCAGAATCTGGTATAGGTAGATTGTGATTCCTACCCTGGAAAAAATTCTAGTGTCTACTATTTTTATCACCTTCAGTTCAGTGACCTCACAAAAAGGTTTCTCCATCCTTTATCGATGGATACTTTTATTGTCTAAACACATTAGACAATGGAATAATAGAGGGTTAGATGTGAACATAGCAGCTTTGGATGGGGGAAATGTTGGGAACTGATGCGTGTTCTATTTTGACCTATAATATCTGCTAGGGAGATCCGTTGTGTATCACTGGAGTGGCACTTTTTATACCTGCTGAAAATGTAGCCTGTTATACGAGATACATGTTGATTTGTCATTTTTTTAATATATAAAATACATAATTGATGCAAATATATTTTTCCTTTTTCAGTTTTCCTTCCAGAAGCCTCCTTAGCTGCACTAATCTTATTATAAGTGTGCTGATATTTACAGTTCTACTCAGTTATTTGGTACTTTTCCAATAGCCTTGGTATGCACTCATCCATTATTATATTCAATTACATAGAAATGTCAAGGTATCCTAGCAAGCTTTTAATATGATTAAGCCATGACTTCTTCAACTTCTCTTAAAAAATCATAATCTCTTGTATACAATGCCAAAACTAAAGCATTTGCAGGTATTAAATTGAATATTATCTGATTCTCCATTTTCATAAAGTATATTTGTCAGGTTAGAATGAAACACTGATATCATTCCATTTTAATATTGACAGCATTGTTAATGAGCATGACTGAGCTAGAAGACCTCAGAGGTGAAATGGTGATGCTGTAAGCTAAATCCCAGACAGCTGAGACTTTGGGAGTGTGGTAGAAGGGAAATTGGCAATAGCAAAGACAAACGTATAGATTTAGATATGTAGACTGGACAGCAATATTTTAAAGGGATTACATACATGTTACATATATGTCAATCTCTGATTGTCATTTTAATATTCTTTAGAATGTTCTTTCTTACTTCACTGCGTGCTAGAATATTTTTTCCAGAGAATCTAAATTCTCTATGTGACAAGAAAGGTCAAGGAAGAACAGCAGTAGCATTTGCACTGTTAGAATGCAGAAGTGGTTCAGAGGCTTAAAATAATTGTGGCTTCATTTGATGGTTTTTGTGGATTCATTTTCATTTTCATTTCCTTTTTATTAAAGAAGAAAGAGAAAACACAAATGGTCTGGCTGAAGATAGGCGTTGGTATTACTGAAGGTAAACTTGAAAATTCACTCTTTGGTGAAAAGTTGATATATAGATAGTGAATTTCCTCAGTGCTGAGGAAATCGCTGTGATTGCTTTCACAGAGTGGATACATTCTTTATTGTCACAATTCTGTCGCTATTGTGGTAAAAGATTGACTCAGAGGTTTAAATTTTTAAGCATACCCTTATTTTTTGGATGCCTCACTTGCTGATGTTCAGTTTAAGACATCTGAGAAAGTCCTGTTTTTCAGAGGGTGTTTTTCAGAGGGTGTTTAGCCCTTTCTAAAAATCATCCCTTAAGCTTTCTGAGCTTAAAGCACTCCAAAACCAAACTAATTAACTAGGTATAATGCTAGGATAATGCTTTAATTAAATAGAAAATTTAGACTACTGTGGAATATTGTGGGAAGTTCAAATAAGGTTCAGGGCTAGAATTTTCTAGCCTTCTTTCTCTCTTTCTTGCCTTTTTTTTTCTTTTTAGATCTGGGGAGAGATAAAGACAAACAGAGGGATTTCACCCTGTGTTTTCTAACAGTATACCTCATGCAGAATAGTACAGCATGTCCTAAAAGCTGATTTTAGTCAAATGCTCCTTTGAGACGGATAACGGGAATAATATGAACAAGCTCAGAACGGAGGTGCTTGTGGCTGTCATTATGTGAGGGTGCTGTGCTGCTCAAGGCTTTGAAAACAGAATTTCTAAAGTTTATGGGAGAAAGCTGGTTTATAAGGACTCTCACTTCTAGAAAAAACATAATCTCAGAAAACTCTTACCAAGAGCAGACTGACAATATTTTGAAGTCTCGATTTTACAGCTCATGACTGTACTGTGAATGTTAATGTCTGTTGAATTTTCTTGTAAATGTTGCACTGGTCCTTGTGAATCAAATGGAAATGTGCTTGCACCCTAGTGTATGGTTCATACAGATGTCTGAGATGTAGCCTGTAATTTCCTAAATGTAAAACTCTTTGAAAGCCATAGTCTTGAAAAAAAGAAAACCATATCTTCTGTGCAAAATGAACAGATTAGATGTTTGTGCTCTGATGTCTCTTAAACTGATAAGAATCAAGAGAGTTAAACACTGAACTTTGTAAAGCAGTTATAATGCATTCTGTTTTTACTGTATCTGCTGTGAAGTTGATTGGTTACACTGTGAAAAATTAAATAGTGCCTGGCTGTATACTTTCTGATGTTTTTTTATTTTCTGCATGGCACGCATTCTCTTATTTTTAGAACTGAATACAAAGTGTATCGTCCTGGTGAAAATGGTCTCGTACACTTACGCTGCTCTGACTAAGAAAGGGGGGGAAAAAAAAAAAGAGAAGTAGCCTGTACACGTTCACAGATACATTAAAGTTAATTTGGAGCTGCTTCATGTAGCTGTAGGAAGTACAAGGCAAGGCTGGAATCCTGCACTGAGCCATTTGCTTGTACAGCTCGGTGACAGGACGGACATGTTCTAGGTTTGCGATGAAGTGTTATTTCATATAATGCCCAGGAAGTGCTGTGCTCAGTGTCCTGAGCACCGCGTTCTTTGGTATCCCTCAGAACTAGCTTCTGTTTTGCCTTCTGGTTCTTTGGCCCCTGAGCCTGGGTGCTGGAAATCTCTACAGCTCTGCTTAATTTCCCACATTAGAAGGATCAAAATTTGCTCTGAGATGAGGACTTTGGCCTATAATGGCTAACTAACTAGCAGTAATTAAAAAAAAAAAAAGTAAGCAAGAAATTTTCCTTGAGTTTTTTTTTTTTGCTTTTTCTGCTTCTTAAAATAAACCAGCATGTGTTGGTCATCTGGCAGAAACAAAGCTCTGGAGGCAGAGTTCCCCCTTATCAAACATTTTGTTTGGGTGCAGCTTTGCAATACAGAGCTAATGAACAGATCTCCTGCTACTTACTGCCAAGAGGAGTGGTCCTGCTCTCTCCCCTTCACAACCCTGCGCTTCTGCCAGCTCTGGTACTTGGCTAATCGTGCTCTCGTTCCCCAAGATCCCTCATGGCCATAACGTGCAGCTCCCTCTTTGGCTTGCTTGCTGTTTTAGAAAAGATTGTAATTTTGGGGCAAGGAGCAAGGGTCACACTGAAAGGGAGTGTCTGGGAGAAATCACTCATTATTTTCCTCAAATTATTTTTTTCTCTTTTCAAGTCTTGATGGTCACTAACTTCCTCTTGTGGTCAGTCCCAGGGAAAATTTTTAACTCATTCTGGATAGAGTGTGGAAAGGTGATGAGAGAGAAGAAAACAAAAACTCTGGGAAAGGATTCAAAGGATGTTTTAAGCTGCTGTGGGCTCTGAGTTCTGGAAAACATCACAGATTTCTTCAGCCCTTTCTACATCCTTCTTGGATTAGAGACAGGGCATTCCATCAGTCCCAGCAATATCTCAATTCCCTTTAACATCCTGTGTTCTCTTTCCTCAGTAAGTACCCACACAGTATTATGTGTTGCAAGGTGTTACTTAACTTATTAAGGTTACTTAAGGTATAATAGAATCTATTTATCCTTTTCTTTTAGATTGCTGCTGTTCTTTTCGTTATATGAGCATTATAGTGAAGTGTGTTATTACGTAATACCATACCTCTGAGAGTGCTGTGTTTTGAATAGCCTTTTAGCTCAAAAGAGTCAAATCTCTAGCTTCCACACTATTGAAGTAGCTGATGAATGAGGTAATTAAACAAAGCCCTTATGTACCAACTTCAAAGTAAATCCTGCTGTCTATATTTTTAAGGTAAACATTTTTCATTTTTACTGGCACTAGGGTGAATTTCAACAATAGGTGCCTGGAAGGGGCTAAAATGAATTCACTTCTCGTTGACAGGCCGAAGTATATTATTTTCCACGAATTGAGGCTGCTAAGACTGCAGGTGGCCACGAGCCTTGCTGACTAAAGTTACTAAATGTCAGTGCAGAATCAGAATGAGACAGTAACTATTTGAGAGTTCCCAACTACTTTCTTTTAGTAGTATATACTATTAGATAGTAGTAATAAATAATTAATATCACAAATAAGTAATAATTAGTAATACAAATAAGAAATAAATAATTGTTATTCATATCCAATGTCTGATCTAAGATTATTTTCTTTTAATAATATCTACAGTAGAAATTGTTATACTGTTAAAGAGCTCTTAAAATGATACGAATTTGGAACAATAGATGCCCAAATGATGCCTGTGGATAGTTAAAAAGAAGCAGCAGCTGCTTTCCGAGGTACTAGGTAATACTGTCTCTGTGCTCCCTCTCTTGCCCTTACAGTGTTGCTTGTTGTGAGAGAGTGACTCAGTCTGCACGCCTTAAGCGGTAGCTGGGACTGCCATCTGAGTTGGCTTTGGTAAGGGTGATATTCCGTAATGCTCTCACCTTTCTGCTGGGAATGGGACCATGAACGCTGAACTCATTTCACACAGGCCAGTGAGCACCCAGCATATGGTAACAGCTTTCAGATGCGACTAGCTAACCTAAGATAGATATTAGTAATTGAGAGGTTGCATAATGCATTAGCAGTCCCTGATACACCGGTCAGTTGCAGCTCTTCGTTTCTCCTGTAAGACACACTACCTCACTTTTTTTTCCCTCTACTCTCCTTGTTTATACCTATCAGCTACCATCTTCTCAAGTCTTCATATCGTGCACTTTCCTTTGCAAATCTGATACTTGGCTGTCTCTGCCACTTCTCTTCCTTGCATTAGAAATCAACCTGCCTTGCTCAATCTCCACTGTATTGTCTGTCTATTTACCTGCTTGTGCACCTTTATTTTCTCATTTTCTGTTCAGTTTTGGGTTAATTCACCAATTCACAAAAAAATGTTGTGGAAGATGAGAGACACAGCTATGAAAGTGAAGCAGACATGAGAAACGAGACCTTTCCTCCCCACATACCACCAGAAGTCTGAAGATGCTGTATGTCACCCTCCTGCTCTCTGAAGAATCGTGCTGGAGATTTCGGTCTGGTATGAGGACATCTGGTAAGAAATGGTAAAAAAGCAGCAGATCTTTCCTAGCACTTTCTTAAAGACTTCAAAAGGCAAAAGGGACAAAATGTCCTTGAGAATTATTTTTATTTGAGATCTTCTTAGATGGCAGTGCTGTTGAGATTAGCAAGCTCTCAACGGTAGATTCTTCAAAGCTGGCTGAGTTGTTGAATGCATCTTTTCACGTTAGAAAAGTATATTAAGAGGGATAATCAGACAAAAGCTCAGGTACTTTACTGAGCTTCCTGCCAGCAACTGATAAACGAGCAGGGACACTGATACCTCTAGTACTGACCATATTTCTCTGCTCCCAAATATTATCCACAGTAGACACCACTACTAGAAGCCTTATCTTAAGCCTGATGCTGGGGATTATGCTTGGATGATGAATCAGTGGTTAGATATGAGCCTAAGACTTTGGGTATTTAAGGTTTTCCTTCCTGTTTTACCTCTGAATCTATATGATTCAGTGTTTTCTCCATTTTAGATGAGATCAGTAGTTTCTCTGTGCCTCAGTTATTATCCATAAGATGTGAATAAGATGATAATTTTTCTCATGAAGCTGTTCAAATTAACACTGAATTAATGAACGGAAAGTACTCAGATTTTATGGTAATCAAAGGGCTGATAGATGGCTAGAACAAATGATGCCCTTGTCCTTCACTGCTGAAAAGGGAAGTGTATGCAAGTCTTTCGTGGAAACTATAGTGATTCATGAGACAGTGATAGGTGCCTGAAGCTGCAGGAGGCTGATTCTTCTCTATTGAGAGAAATACTTTTAACATAAGTATAAAAAAGTAAACAAAAGAGTCTTTAATGAAAATAGACCCTCAGAATAACTTAGCAATCAGGACTCACCTCAAGAAGTAATCAGGAGCAGAATTACCTGGCCAGTGTCCTCAGAATGTGAAAACTGTCTGGATAAAGGTGTGAAACTAGGTAAAGTGATATTTTTCTGCAGTTATTAATGATAATACATAGAAGCAATTTTATCCTACTTGTCTGTTGTCTGCTTCAGGTCTGCTGCTAATAACAAAGCACTATATCTTAGTACTGGCTTTATCTGTAGTTTATCCTACAGGCAGTAGTGCAGATTCTAAGACTTTCATAGTTACAGTGACTTGAGTTGTAGTCACAAATGCAGCTCAGCACTGCTTAAGGTCAGAAAGATCTAAAAAAATCATCTGTCGGAGAATAAATAAACTTAATAGTAAAATTTGGTCTATGAAGACCCAATTGCTGATCTAATTTTATTTAAAAGTTTGCAGGGCCAGAATCTCAGTAAAAGGCAGGTATTGCTCCACTGAAATCAATAGAATTACGCTGATCTACAGCTGCAGCTGCGTGACCAAAATAATTTTATCACTAAGAACCGCGTGTCCTGACATGGGTGAGAAGTAGCACAAGTGTTTTACATCAGAGAGGTATTGGGGTTGGAGTTAGAGCTTTCTCAGCATATAGCAAACCGGTTGTGAAATAACACAGTCATTGTTCAGACTGTCAATGAAGGTTCAGCACTCATCTCATCAGTGGCTGGTACTTAATCTGTGCAATCAGTTCCACTTAGTATGTATATTTGTGACTTAACAACAGAGTCATCTGAGAGCTAGGTATGATACAGGTATGTGCAGTAGAAGGGCTTTGAAATATTTTTTGCTAAAGTAGCTTCTTCATCCACACACCATTTGTTAGGTTAGATTTTTTTTTCTGCCTTCTGATGTCATAGAATACTTTTAAATCCTAAACTGATTATTTAAGTAAATGGGAAAATCTTGTTACAGACAACCTTCACATTTCCCAGCAGCAACAATGAAGATAAATGTGCTTGTGTTATCGATATGGAATTCCAAAAAACACATTAAATGAAGTTATAAATCAAAACTAATTTGTCTTCCAGACTACTTGGGATTAGTGGTTAATAACTGGGCAGCAGATTCAGAAGTGTGTAGACAAATATTAATGGTGCACTTGCTACCAGCCAGAGTGTCTGTGATAGAGGCAGCTCTCAGAAACTTGCAAAAACATTGATGGTGTTATGAAGATATGTAGAAATAAGTGATATTTAGAAGTATTTGACTATGTTGACCACCTACTACCTGATTCAATCAGTGTGAATTATTAATTCCTCAGTGTATGATTGATTGCCTCTAAAATCTATCAGCCTTCTGTACACTCTGCTGCCTTTGTGTCCTGAAGCATCTCAATTGTCTCTC